TGCCCCTGGCCTCCTGGAAGTTGGATAGGGGGCATCTCTCTCTGAGCCTTGCCCTTGGGCTCACGGCATGCATGCATTTGTCCCCTCCTAGGACAAGCTGTACCAGCCTGAGTACCAGGAAGTGTCCACTGAGGAACAGCGTGAGGAGATCTCTCAGAAACTCAGTACCGTGTCCGCCTGGTTGGAGGACGAGGGCTTTGAGGCCACCACTGTGGTGAGGAGGTGCCCAGGATATGATGGGATGGAAGCTTTTGCCTTCCTTTCTCAGGGTCAGAAAGAGGAGGGCCTGAGGTATGAGGCCATAAAGAAAAATGCAAGAGCTGGGCGCCGGTGGCTCACACGTGTAATCCTAGCTACTCAGGGGCTGAGATCTGAGGAACACAGTTCAAAGGCAGCCCAGGCAGGAAAGTCTATGAGACTCTTACCTCCAATAAACCACCAGAAAACTGGAAGTGATGCTGTGGCTCAAGTGGTAGAATGTTTGCCTTGAGCTGAAGAGCTGAGGGACAGTGCTCAGGCCCAGAGTTCGAGCCCCACAACCAACAAAAAAAAAGAAAAAAAGATGCAAGGGGGCTAGAGGCGTGTGTCAGTGGTGGAGACCTTGCCTAGCAAGCACAAGATCCTGTGTCCAAACTCCAGTACAAAAACAAAATCAGGATGCAGGACTTTTCTAGGGCTTTTGCCATCCTTTCAACTCCTCTCCCTACTCCTGCTGTCCCTCAGATGTTGAAGGAGAAGTTGACTGAGCTGAAGAAGCTATGCCAAGGTCTGTTCTTTCGGGTGGAAGAGCGCAAGAAATGGCCTGAACGGCTGTCTGCCCTGGACAATCTCCTCAACCATTCCAGCATGTTCCTCAAGTGAGTAGCCTCTGCACCCTTTCTTCCCTAGTCCCTACCAAGGCCACAGCTCTAAGTCCTGTCAACCTCACATTCCCCCACCCCAGTCTTTTCTGCCCCCTGAGCTGATTGTCTCCTGTCTGGCATCCAGGGGCGCCCGGCTCATTCCAGAGATGGACCAGATCTTCACTGAGGTGGAGATGACGACATTGGAGAAAGTCATCAATGAGACCTGGGTAATCATTGTGTGAATGTAGTGCTGGAGGTACCAAGGGTGGCAGGATGAGTTACAGTCCTCAGCCAGAGGCTGGGATGATTTCCCTGGGGCAGACATCTTCTCTCCCTGGCTACCCCTGAGTGATCCTGGCCTCATCCACAGGCCTGGAAGAACACAACTACTGCTGAGCAAGCCAAGCTTCCTGCCACTGAGAAGCCTGTGTTGCTCTCAAAAGACATCGAGGCCAAGATGATGGCCCTAGATCGGGAGGTACAGTATCTGCTCAATAAAGCCAAGTTTGCCAAACCCCGGCCACGGCCCAAGGACAAGAATGGCACCCGGACAGAACCTCCCGTCAATGCCAGTGCCAGTGACCAGGACGAGAAGGTCATCCCCCCAGCAGGTGAGGGCAGAGCGCCTGGCTCCTCGTCCCAGCGGGACGGGAGAAAGCCTCCTTCTCCTGCAGCTTACTTCTGGTTTCCCTCCAGGCCAGACTGAAGAAGCAAAGCCCATTTCAGAACCTAAGAAAGTAGAGACTCGTGAGTTGGGGAAACTGGTTGTTGGGACAGAGACATTGCACTGGCCTGGGGTTGGCAGTCTGTCATGTCTAGATGGTCTTTTGTGGTGCTGGGGATGTAACACAGGGCCTTGAACGTGCTCAACAAGAAATCTGCTGGAGCCACATCCCCAGACCTTGGCCTCTTAAAAAACAACTAAAAAAAATAAGCAAGAGACCAAATGTGGGCTGCACATTCTAAAATATTTACTAGCTGGCTATTGACAAGCCCTCCATTAACTTCTCCCTCTTATTCCTTCCAAAACACAGGCTCTGAGCCAACAGACACTGAGCCTCTGGAGTTGGGAGGCCCTGGAGCAGGTGAGGGTGGGGCTGCGTCTGTGCTGGGCAGCCTGGTGGGACGGAGAGAATAATCCCTGCAGAGAACTGTTTGGTCTCACTGCCTCCCCTTCCCCCATTTTCCTAACAGAATCTGAACAGAAGGAACAGCCTTCAGGACAGAAGAGGCCTTTGAAGAATGATGAACTATAACCCTCATCTCCTCCTCCCCAACCCCCACTCATCCCCCACTTGTCTCCAGCCCCTTCTACCACCTCTATTTATTACACATTGGGGTGTGGGCAGGGGTTGGTCCTGCCCACAGGGCTAAAGTAACTTCTCTCTCACCTGGGGCAGGAGGGAGGCTGCTCACCATCTTCTGGAATAGCTCTGTGTTAAACCTGAACTGTTGGTTTCCGGGCCTCCACCTCTTGGTCCCTACCTATCTGGCCCTGCATTTGGGGAAAAAATCACTATTATGTCTTAATTCTTTGCCTCTGGGTCAGTGAGAGGATGGCTGCCAGAGGTGGAGGGGACCTAGTAGTGGGCAGGACGTCAAGGGACACAGGAGAGTGTTCAGTCTTCTCTGGGCATCCTTCCCTTCTTTCCTCTTCCACCATGAAATCAATGTCCCATTTTGGCCCGTGTCTACAAAGCCTTGGTCACCACCTTTGGTTTCTGAGTGTCTGTCTATGTTTTTCCCTCCAGGATCTTCTGTTTCCTAACCCTTCACCCAGTTCTTATCTGGCTCTTTCCACTGGGTCCCTTGGCTTCCTAGTACAGGAGGGCAGTTTTCTGTCTCTTGCCTGACATCTCCCACCCAGACTGGCTTGTATTCCCACTGCCTGTTGCGACCCCTAGTGGCCAGAATATACGGGGAGCAGTCACTGCCCTCCAGAGAGTTGAGACATGTCAAAGCACTGCAGCCCTCCCCTGTGATTGTTGGGCCCTGGAAAACACGTAGAGTGTTTAGCAGGGATGCCAGTAGCCTGCAGGCACTCAAAGTCCTTATCTGCCCAGTACCCCAGGTTTCTGTAACTAACTACCTTTTTCCCTTCTTCCTTCTGCCCCTCCCAAATAGAGCCTTTCTCTTACCCCTTACCCACTGGGCTGACCAAAATGTGCTTTCTACTGTGAGCCCCTGTCCCAAGACGGGGATGGAGAGACAATGTGTGAATGTAAAACTGTCACCTCATTCGGAGGCAGGCCGTGGGTAGAGGGTGAGGGTCAGGTTTGGCCTGCCTTGTGTGTGACTCTGCTGGCTCTTTACCCACAATGCCAATGCCTAGGGAACCTGTCCTCCAGTATTCCGTCTGTGGCAGAGCTAGGGCTGCCACCCTCTCTGGGACAAAAGCTAACCCAGTTGTGTCATTCTGCCTTCTTTCTACTCCTCCTCCCCCCCTTTTTTTTTCTTTTGCCACATTGGCAGAGAGGGACCTTCAGGTCCCACCACCTCACTTCTGTAAGTTTTGAGTCCCTTCATTAGTGCGTGAGGCTGGTTGGACAGGTTTGAATCAAATTGTACTTTGCTCCATTGTTAATTGAGAAACTTTCAATAAAATATTCTTTTCTACAGTTTTTGTGCTTTGTATTTTTATTTTTATTTATTTATTTATTTTTTGTCGGTCGTGGGGCTTGAACTCTGGGCCTGGGCGCTGTCCCTCAGCTCTTCAGCTCAAGGCGAGCGCTCTACCACTTGAGCTACAGCGC